ATCATCCGCATCATCATCAGCAGCATCAACATCATCATCATCATCATCATCATCATCATCATCATCATCATCATCATCATCATCATCATCATCATCATCATCATCGTCATCATCATCATCATCATCCTCAGCATCAGCAGCATCGTCATCAGCATCATGATCATCAGCAGCAGCATCAGCAGCCTCATCCTCATCATCATCCGCATCAGCATCATCCTCTTCCTCCTCCGCCTCCGCCTTCTCCTCCTCCTCCTCCTCCGCCTCATCCGCCTCATCCTCCTCCTCCTCCGCCGCATCAACCTCGTCCTCCTCATCCTCCTTCTCCTCCTCCGCCTCCTCCTCCTCCTCATCATCATCATTGTCATCATCCTCATCCTCCGCCTCCTCCTCCTCATCCTCCTCTCCCCCCCCGTCTCCACAGCCTCCTCCTCCTCCTACTCCTGTTATGTTTCTTCTTAGTAGTAGTCGTCTCTTCGTGGTTTCATGCTCCCGATTGTTCATATTACTAATATGCTTAAAGTATTAGTAGTAGTATTCGTTGTGTTCGCCTCAGTCTTAGCATTATCATTCTTAGTAGTATTATTTATTAGTATTATTATTAATCGGATTCGTCTTAGTATTCTTCTCGTGTGACAAGTATTATTACGCTTCTTATTATTAGTAGTCGCTGCAGTCTTCTTATGATTTGCCTTCGCATTGGTAGTAATAGTGTTCGTGCTATTCTTTCCCATATTATCAGTATTCATCGTCGTAGTGGTATCATTCGTGATCGGATCCACCTTGGTTTTATTAATACTTATAGTAGTGGTTGTCGCATTCGTCTAATTATTCCGAATCGTCTTAGTAGTAGTAGTAGTAGTAGTAGTAGTAGCAGTAGTAGTAGTAGTAGTAGTAGTAGTAGTAGTAGTAGCTGTTGTAGTAGTATCATTAGTACAGGTAGCAGTGTTCTTAGTAGCATTCCCAGTACTATTATTTTGATTCGTAATAGTATGTCTCGTGTTATGATCCCTCTTCTTATTCATAATATCATGATTAGCCGTAGTATGCTTAGCATTCGCATTATTAGTAGTACTATGGTTGTGTTCTTCAAATTCGTATGAATATTATTATTGGCATTCGTCGTATTAGTATTATGAGTCATGTTAGTCTTCTCACTACGTTTAGTAGTACTATTCCTCCTCCTCCTGTTCCTCCTCCTCCTCCTCCAGCTCCTCCTCCTCCTCCTCCTCCACCTCCTCCTCCTCCTCCTCCTCCACCTCCTCCTCCACCTCCTCCCTCCCTCCCTCCCTCCCCCCTCCCTCCCTCCAGCCCTCCCTCCCTCCCTCCCTCCCTCCCTCCCTCCCTCCCTCCCTCCCTCCCTCCCTCCCTCCCTCCCTCCTCCCTCCCTCCCACCCTTCCCTCCCTCCTCCTCCTCCTCCTCCTCCTCCTCCTCCTCCTCCTCCTCCTCCTCCTCCTCCTCCTCCTCCTCCTCCTCCTCTCTCCGCCTCCTCCTCCCTCCACCTCCTCCTCCTCCTCCTCCTCCTCCTCCTCCTCCTCCTCCTCCTCCTCCTCCTCCTCCTCCTCCTCCTCCTCCTCCTCCTCCTCCTCCGTCCTCCTCCTCCTCCTCCTCCTCCTCCTCCTCCTCCTCCTCCTCCTCCTCCTCCTCCCTCCTCCTCCTCCTCCTCCTCCTCCACTCCTCCTCCTCCTCCTCCTCCTCCTCCCTCCTCCTCCTTCCCCCTCCTCCTCCTTCCTCCTCCTCCTCCTCCTCCTCCTCCTCCTCCTCCTCCTCTTCCTCCTCATCATCTGAGTGGTCGCTGGAATGCCATGGTAGGTCTCTCGGTGGCCCCTGTGAATAGAGTTTGAGAACTCTTGGGGGGCCTTGTGGGGGCCTCTTGGGGTTCTCTTCGGGGCCTCTTCGGGGCCTATTCGGGGGCCTCTTTGGGGCCTCTTTTGAGCCTCTTAGGGGCCTCTTGGGGCCTCTTGAGGGCCTCTTGGGGCCGAGGACCCAAAAAGTCCGCTCGGGTACCCCGTCTGCGCCCCCTCTTGGAGCCGTCTTGGGGGCCTCTTGGGCCGTCTTGGAGGCCTCTTGGGCCGTCTAGGGGCCGTCTGGCGGCCCTCTTGGGCCGTCTTGGGGCGGTCTTGGGGGCCTCTTGGGCCGTCTAGGGGCGTTGGGAGCCTCTTGGTCCGTCTTGGAGCGGTCTTAGGGGCCTCTTGGGCCGTCGTCAACGCCGTGAAAGCCGAAAAGCCGTATATGCTATAAAATGCACGTTTCCCCAAGGAAAATCAATGATTTGGGCCTCTTGGAGCCCTCTTGGGACGCCCCTTGGGCGCCTCTTGGGGGCCTCTTGGGGGCCTCTTGGGCCGTCTTGGGCGGTCTTGGGCTCTCTTGGAGCGCTCTTGGGCCGTCTTGGGGGGGGAACCCGAAAACCATGCAAAAACCCGAAGGAAAACCCGAAAACGGCCATTAACACTCATTCGTTCGCGCTACCCTCCCCCCTGGAACCCCCCCCTTTAGGGCTTCGCCCACACCAGAACGTCATCACTCGTACCTCGCTCGTTCTGTTACCTGGGACGCCCCCCCTTGTTATTTCTCCCGACTAACGGATCGCGACGCTACACGCGCATTCCGTCATCCGCCGCCCCCTGTAATCTTGCCACAGGCGTGCCCGGCGTGCTGAGGTTCAGGTCGTTTTTGGTTCTTTTCAAGACTCCACCTAGGACTTCGGCCCAGCGCACCAGCCACGCGGACTTTGCAATGCCTATTGGTTTCCCCGAGGGCCTCCAAGACGGCCAAGATGGCCCAAGATGGCCTCCAAGTTCGCCCAAAATGGTCCAAGATGAGTTCCAAGATGGCTCAGGAGGGTCCAAGATGCCTCCAAGTCCGCCCAAGAAGCCACCAAGACGGCCCAAGATGGCTCAGGATGGCCCAAGACGGCCCAAGAGGCCCTAAGATGGCCCAAGAGGCCTCCAAGGTCCTTGGCCAAAATCACTGATCCTCATCAATTGTTTGAAGGATTTCGGCCCTTGCTTCGAAACGGCCTTCCGACGGTCCAAGACAGCCCAAGAGGCCCTCAAGATTGCCCCAAGATCGCCAAAGAAGCCTCCAAGATGGCCCATGGCCCGAGAGGCTCCCAAGACGGCCCCACAAGGGCCCCAAGATGGCCCAAGAACCCGCCAAGACGCTCAACATGGCCTTCAAGACGACCCTGAAGCGCCCCAAGAGGGCCCCAAGACGGCCCAGAGAGGCTCCCAGGACGGCTTCCGACGGCGTGAGACGGTCCAGGAACGCCGTAAAAGAGCCCCCCCCAGAAAGGCTCCCAAGAGGCCCAAAAAGGCCCCCCAAGAGGCCTCAAAGAGGCACCCAGGAGGCTCCCAGGAGGACCGAAGAATGACCCAAGAATGACCCATGGAGCTCCCACGAGGTCTCCTCATCCATCTCCTCATCAATTTTTCCCCCTCTCCTCATCCTCCTCTTCCTCCCCACGTGTTCCCCGAAGGGCTGCCACAACGGCTGGGGGAACGCGTTGTCCAATAGCGTGGCCAAGTATTGCCCAAACGTTTAGCCACATAGGCGTATCCTAGAAGGCAGGGGGCGGCGGTGATTCGCCGTAGGCGACTTCGATATCGAAAAAAACCTTCGTCGTGATGGTTGTCATGACCCGAGGGGGTATGGGGTAGAAGCCCGCCCCCCTTTGGAGGCGGCCTGGATGGGCCACGAGAAAATCTGTCAAGATGGGGGGCGAGGCAAAATCAGCCAAAAATCTGTCCCTGTACCCCTCCCAAGGTCCAAACGCACAAGTGTTTCGAGCCGCGTCCAGCCGTGGCGACGAGAAGACCCCATGAGGTCAAAAAGAGCTGAAAGGGCCCCCTCCCCCCTTTCTGCTGGCCAGAACTAACCAGTGCTGGACCACCTCAGCCTCAGCCGACTCCAAGCCTTAAGTCGGGCCTGTCCTCCTACATGGGGGATTTGAGGCGATAAATCAAAAATGCTAAAAAAGGTCCAAACATGCTCAAGAGATAGCCAAAAAATCGTCCCCAGAGTATCTTTTTGCTACTTTTGAGTATTCCTCATGCAGAGGGACAGGCCCGACTTCATCCGAGCCCCCTCTTGTCAATCCCCTTCTGCGCGCCGCCGACCCTCACTTAAACTTTCGACGGTCCGTGCGGATGTCTTGGATGGGCGCTGAACCCTTCTCCCTGGCGCGCGGAGCGCGGCAGGGGCGGCGCTGGAGGCGTCGCCAGAGGGGCCCAGAGCAGATCCGAGAAATCCGCGCGGACCTCCGAAAGTTTATGTTTGTGCCGTTTTCTCGTCTTCGAATATGGGAGACTGGCGCCGCCGCCGGAGAGGCGACTCCGGGAATCGGCGATACATCGCCGATGGATCGGCGATAGGACCCCGGTAGCGAATCCGCACGTTCCTGGGCGCGGTGGGGCTATCAGGCGCCCATCGGCGATGAATGGGCGATTGGGGGTCAAGGCATACCCCACTGGGCCTATAACGTTGCCCCTGGCTTCTGGATCATAATGCCGCTCTCCCGCGGCCGTTCGGGACGATCCAAGCACCCCCAGGACGCCCTCAGCGAGGGGCAGCTGCTGAGGGGCATACCGACGAGAAAGTACGAAAGCCTTGAACCTCGAGCCTATCCCCCCCCTGCTGTTGCCCCTGAGCCTGCCCCCCCCTGACGTCGCACCTGAAGCGAGGCGACTCCCGGGGGCCGTGCGCCCCCGCCAGAGAGGCGCTCCGGAGTGCTGGCTGCGGCGCGCGGGCGAGCGCACGCTCCGCCCCGCGGGCGGGGGGGCGGTCGCGGTTCCCGACGCGGGCCGCCGCTCGTCGCCAACCGCCGCCCGTCGCTCGCCGCGGCTCGCCGCCGCCGCCGCCGCCGCTGCTCGTCGCCCGTCGCCGTCGTCGCTCGCTGCTCGTCGTCGCTCGCCGCCCGTCGCTCGCCGCCCGTCGCTCGTTGTCGGACGCCCCCGGTGCCGCCGAGAGCCCCTGGAGAGCCCCGCCCAGGGGTGGCAGGCGCCTTGCCGGTGGCCGCGGCGGTCGGCACCGACCACTGCAGCTCGGCCTTGCCGGTCATCCCCCGGGCCTCCACCTGCTGGGCCGGAGGGCGCGGTGCCGCCCGGCGGGCACGGGCCCGCCCCGCGCGCGACCAGCCACTCGGGTCTCCCACGGTGTGATTTACTCAGTCGGCAGTGATTTTCCTCGACCTCGGACCTCGGAGGCCGTTGCCGGCCCCCATGGGGCCATCAGCGATGGATCTGAGACCTCTGGGGCCGCGGATGGAGGAAATCAGATCGGCGGACATCCTGACCTTCCGGAGTCCTCACATATTGCACTCCAGACCTCTAAACCTATCTGGACTGCTCAGGGCCTCGACGAAGGCTGAGCCGTCAAGGCCCTGGTGATGATTCGGTGCCTTCCTGGGAGATCAGGGTGGGGAGAACCCAGTGCGTCAACGCTGCCTCGAGGGGGGCGTCGAGTGGGTCGCCCCACGGGGAGTGAGGGCTACAGCTCCGACCCAATGGGGCCCCGAGGGGGGAGGCGCGGTGCCGCCCGGCGGGCACGGGCCCGCGCCCCGCTCGAGAGCGCCGCGCTCTGGCGACTGGGAGCGGTCGGCGGCACTTTGCGATCGCCAGATCTCGGCGGCGAGCCCCAGGGGGAGGAAGTAGCGAAGGAGGAGACCTTCTCAGAAGGCGGCAGGGCCTCTCAGAAGCCCCCCCGGCCTTCTGAGAAGTTTTCTGTGCCTTCGGGAACGGCCTGGAAGGCTTCTGAGGAGGCCAGAGGCCTTCCCGAGCCTTCCGAGAAGGCCCGCCCCCTCTCGCTTCCCCCCTGGGCTCGCCGCCGCGTCTCGATCGCCAGATCGTTCCAGGCCGGCAACTTTGGCAGCGCTGGCGGCGCTCTGCCCTGAACGCTCGCGGCGGGGCCGCACCGCGCCGACACGACGCGCACCCACCGTGCGGCACGGGAAGTGGGAGCAGTCCACGAGCCCCGAACTCGTGGGGAACGAGCTACACGGGGGGGGACTCCGGTGGGGGAGGGGGCCATGCAGAAATCACGACGGGAGAGTTGTTCACCATCGGCCTCCTGGGACCGTTCCCGGGCCGCGGGACCGTCCAGAAACACCCCAGGATGAGGAGCTCGTGCCAGGGAATGGGTGGAAACCTCTGGGGCTCAAAGGTATGAAAAAATAGTGACGTCGGGGGTCTGGAAGCTCGGGCGGGGGGGGAAACATCGACATGGAATCGGCCACGCATCGCCGATAGATGGTCCATTGGCTGTCGACAGCGAAGAAGTGCGCTCCTGGGCGGGGTGGGGCTAGCAGGCCCCTCTCGGCGAGGAATGGGCGATGGGGGGTTGATGCCGTCCCCCCTGAGGCGATCCCGCCCTAATCCTGCCCCTGATCCAGGGGGGCGCAGAGGAGGGCGAGGTGGAAGGCACAGGACAAGCCTGAAAGATGGATCGAATCGGTAACTCGGATTGGATCGGAAACGGATCGGATCGCCAGCGAATCGAATCGAAATCGGATCGCCGCGACCGGCTCCGCTGGTCCTGGCCGACGCTGGCGAACCGAACCGAACCAGCGAATCGAATCGATCGAATCGGATCGCAGGCGGCCCCGCAGAAAAACAAACAGGGTGGTGCCTGCGCAGGCGCTTCGCGTGTGCTTACGCTGGGCGTGCACTCGAGGGAAGCAACCGAAAGCCAACCGACAGCCAGAAAACAGGTTTACGGCGTCTGTCTCGAAACTCGACTGGGGAATCGACTGCAGAATTGATCTGGCCCAAAGCTGTTTCTCACGTCGACTCCTCTGTAAAAACACGTCAACCACAAGCAGATCTTCGAAAGTTCCACCAATTGCCCGTGGATTCGACAGGAAAAATCACTTCTGGGGCAGATCTATTCTGCAGTCGATCCCCTGCTCGAAAATCAGCCCCGAGGCTCAGTGACGGTCGCGGGGCGCGCAGAGCACCCGTCGACCAAGTGGTGCATGCGCTTCGATGGCACTCGCGGGCTGGCCACAGGCATGCTCAGACAGCCTCGTGCGAGAAGCGCGCTACGGGCCTCGGAAAAAGATAGCGAACACTCGTGCCGCATTCAGCTGTCAACGCCTCCCCCTCCCCCCCAATGTTCAGAGTTGGCGGTGTGTCTGATGAGTTGCACCTCGACCGCAGTCTCCCCCGCGCGTGCCAACTTTGAGTTTGGGGGGCAGGAGGGGTGTTTACTGACTGTCTCCCTCTACCGTATGACAGGCATTGTGAGGGGTGGAGACGGGGGCAATACATGTGTTGGATAGGGGAAGAAGAGGAGGGAGGCGAAGGTGAGGAGTCGGCGCGGCCAGAGCAATGACCAGAACCCCGTTCTCAGGATGTGGGGGACGATGACTTATGATCTGCAAAGTTGGCAACAAAAAAGGCTGGGCACAGATCCCGGACAGCGCAGGCGAGCTCAAGCCAGCTCAGCAGACGCTCTCTGAAACCATACCGAAGCATCCCTAGCATTTGCAAGTTGGCCGCCAGAACGGAGCTCGCACCAGGAGGGCAACAAAAACAACGTGCACGCGGACCGAGAACCTTCCACGCAAGAGACAAGCCACCCTACGGCCGACATCGTCGGAAAATAGGTGTGCAATAGGAGGCAAGCTCGTACTCAGGCGATTCCACGAGAAGACTAGAAGGGTTGGCCGCAGCTTCAAGACGAGCGATAGCACCGACTTCGAAGCGCCATCCAAAAAAACGTGAAAGAGATGGCCACGGTCGGAATCGCTACGGCCCGGTGCTTGCACTCGTGCAGTCGTGGTGCCGACTGCAGTCGTAGCAACAATCGCGTCAAGACTTTAGACATCCTAGAAATCTTCTGAAAGTATGATAATCATGACCCCTTGCTCCTCCGAGAGAACCGCCAGGAGTTGCATTGCCCGTAGGCAGCGCCACTACTGCTACGACTGCGGTCGAAAGCATTGGCCGAGACGCAGAGCTTTCCCAATGGGGGGCCGCAAAAACTTCTCGCACCCTACCGACAACATCTGCGCCTGGCTTCTCCGACCTGATGAGGGCGTCTGCGGCGGCCTTCTGCACGTCGGCGGCGAACCGGCATAGACGCCGATCGAGGCGATGATGGCGAGGATCAACAAGCACTGGGATATCCTGACCGCGTCACTGAAGACAGGGCTTAACCTAAACGGTGTTGTTGGTTTTCGTATTGCTTTCGTTCCCCTCGTTTTCTCTTCAATCCACCTCTACCGCAATCTACCGCGAAACGATGTCGAAACGAAAAAGGCCCACGAATTCGCCAAAACACAGTTTAGGTCCAGCCCTGACCGAAGATAATCGCATCCATCAAGTAGGCGATGCCGATATCGGCGGACGCAGCGATCCTGGTCTTCAAGCTGCCAGCCAATGGCCGCGCTGTAAAAGCGCGACCATCGCGGAGAGGGGCAGGATGCCGCCGACGAGCACGGGGAGGCCTCGGCCGCGGAGAAGACCTCGCGACAGGTGCTTGTGCTCGAACACGAGCATTGGTATTAGGTCGGGCATGTCCCCCTACAGGGGAGTTTTGGAAAGGAAACAAAAAAAAAGTAAAAAATATTCCCCAAACTATGTGTTGACTATTTTTGCGTATTCCCCCTGTAGAGGGACAGGGGACAGGCCCGACTTAACATCAGTATGATGTCGAACAAGGACTTGTACAGCTCAGCTCGTTCACGAGAAAGAAGCTGAGCGTCTTGGCTCCCGAATCCTCCTCCAAGCAGGCCACCAGCAAGACGAACCGGGGGGCGTTGCATTTGGGGGCCTGGTGAAATTAGACGCCCCTTGCGAGGGGAAAACTGATCGTAGAGCGAGGAACGTTAACACAAACGGGAGACACGGCTGTACCCCGTGCAGGAACCAGAGAAGCATCATCTCTGAAGAAAGGTAGTACCCTGTTGGGCTGCATTTCAATCCTCTGATGCGTTCCTACAATTATGTTGAGCGCTCCCTGGATCACTCCCAGCGCCTCTTGCAGTCTCACTTGGCGCCTCTGGGAGCCTCTTGAAGAATCCTGCAATCGCCTGGAGGCTTCTTAGCCCGCCCCGAGCGCCTGATGGTTGTGGGATGCAGCCTGGAAAGCACCTCCATGACGCGTCTGCTCCCTCTTCGCCTTCTGCGCGGCTGCGCCTGCGGGCCTCCAGCTTGCACCAGGAAAAAATACCCCGAACACGCACGTGCTGGCACGCGAGCGATGAAACCCTGAGAAAATGGACACCCTGCTGGAGGAACAGCAGAATCTCTTTCGGCACGTGATATAGCAGGGTAAGACGCGGTTGGTACCATTCACATTCGCGGGGCGTAATCCATGTTCGCACCATCATCGACCCGGGAGCGCTCCGGCTCCAGGGACGCAGAACGCGCTTCCGAGACGACGCAAGCAGAAGGAAGAGACGTCATGTGGAGGTCCTGGAACGGCAACGCTCCCTGGCATCGAAGCAGAGGAGAGCGCGCTGCTCAGCCGCGGGTAAAAACTTGTGCAGAGAGCGGATTGCCACCAACGACGTCGATGAACGAGGCCGCCTAGGCGAGTAGCCGAGTGCCCTAGCGGTCCCGTCGGGCTGGGACCGGAGAGGCGGCAAGAAGATCCTCATCGCCCTCGACTCCTCGCGCACCACGGGGGAAGAGAAGAGAAGAGAAGAGGAAGATCAGGACCCGCTTCGCATCAGGACTCCGCTTTCTTCATGGCGATCCCGGGGACGGCGAGCGAACGAAGCCTGTCGCCGCGAGCCGAAAGCCGACAGGCCCCGCGCGGGTGCCAGGCGCACCGTCGCCGGCGCGAGGGGCCCTGGAGAGGGCCTGCGGGCAAAAGGCTACCTGGCTCGGTTCCCCCCCTGAGATCCGACATTACAAAAAAAAGGCAACATCCCGACCAATCACGACTGGAGCCCTAGACCCAAGCTGCCTGCTGCATTTTTCGAGCTGGATCGATCCATCATGGTCCTGGCATCCGAAACCGGGAGAACATGCCTGGTGATCAAAAAATGCAGCGCCGGGATCTCGGGGTACGCCAATCCTTTTGTTGAATGTTCCAGCTCTGGGCTTTCGGCGTGACGCGTCCCGGCCTGGACGTTTCTTTGCCGCCTCTGACCGCAAGATGCACACCAGCGCTGAAGTCTTGGCATCGCACTGAGAGGAGACATGTGGCACTCGGGTCATCGGCTGTCCGCGTCCGTCTCCCTCTTCCTTCCCTTCCCCGCCCCAGAGAAGTGCTCGGGGTACACCAGTCCTGGGCCGAGAGGATCGGTGCACCCTGAGCACTTTTGTTCGAGAGGGGAAATGGCGGTGGCTGGCCGGAAAGGTGGGTCGAAGGCGCCAGAACACCACGGCATCGGAGGGCTGCGACTCGTCGTCCGAGCCCTCCCGAGCAGCACGCTCCCCCAGGGTCGCAGGCGCAAAGAGAGGCGGCTGGGGGGGGTGCGCGGCCCGCCGCGCTCTGGGCAGCGGCGGCGGGACGGGGGGTCCAGGGGGGGAGGGTGCCTCGGACTCGCGGAGCACGACCGCCAGCTGCTTCGAGCCCGTGCCCAAGAGGACGAGCTCCACCACGCTGTCCTGGGAGGGGTGGCCGCCCCCTCCTGCCGCCCCCCCGCCCGCCCCCTTCTCGTCTTGCCCCCCCACCCCCCTTTCCATCCTCATCGACCTCCTCTCGCTCCCTCGTCCTCCCACGCCTTCTTGTCCTCCTCCTCCTCCACCTTTCAGACCAGCCACAACCATATCCTGCTCCTCCTCCTCCTCCTCCACCTCCTCCTCCTCCTCCACCTCCTCCTCCTCCATTCCTTATCCTTATGAATAACTTCTCCCTGTCGCACCTCGAGGCCAGTTTTTGGGGCGGTCCGGGCGTTTCGCCTGAGACTTTTTCACCATTTATGACCCTGAAGCTTACAAGGTGGCAACAGTTTCACAGATGGAAGGCGGATCGTTTTCAAAATGTAGCCCTCGCCGTAGCTCCGAAATATGCAAGAGCTTATCAGACTAGGGCGGGTGGCTTTCAAAATGTGGCTCTCGCCGTAGTGCCGCGCACATTCGCTTATCACATTTGCAAGAGTTTCACAGGTTGAGGGCGGGTCCTTTTTTAAATGTGGCTCTCGCCGCAGCGTCGCTCACATTCGTCCCAAAGTTTGCAAGAGCTCCACGGATTGAGGGCGGGTGGTTTTCAAAATGTGGCTCTTGCCTTAGCGCCGCGCGCATAAGCTGCAACAATTTCACAGACTGAGGGCGGCTCCTTGTGAAAATGCTGCTCTCGCCTTGGCGCCGCGCACATTCGTTTCAAATTTTTGCAAAAGTGTCACGGATTCTGGATTGTGGATGCAACAGTTACATTGATTCGCGGCACGACTCCGGATCGTCAAGACGCAACAGGCAGATTGATCCGTGGCGATGGAATCCCGAGATCAATGTTTTGGCACGCTTCAAGGTCTGCCAAGGAAACAATTCCCTTGGTGGAAATGAACCGCTGTAGGAGCCTATGAAGAAGGAGCTTGGAGCGAGGGTTTATTCCAACATCGTTGATGACTCTTGGGTTGACGCTGGTCCTCGTCCTCCTCCTCCTCCTCCTCCTCCTCCTCCTCCTCCTCCTCCTCCGCCTCCGCCTCCTCCCGCCTCCGCCTCCTCCTCCTCCTCCTCCTCCTCCTCCTCCTCCTCCTGTCTCCTCCTCTCCCTCCTCCTCCTCCTCCTCTCCTCCTCCTCCTCTCCTCCTCCCTCCTCCTCTCCTCCTCCTCTCCTCCTCCTCCTCCTCCTCCTCCTCCTCCTCCTCCTCCTCCTCCTCCTCCTCCTCCTCCTCCTCCTCCTCCTCCTCCTCCTCCTCCTCCTCCTCCTCCTCCTTCGGCTGTCGCATCCTAGGGGGGCGGCACCCGCCCGGCAGTTGTGAGCTTGACCCGCGCCTTCGAGGACGACGCAACCAAACTTATTATTCCTCCTCCTCATTTTTACGTCGACCACACCTGAATCATACGATTGTGGCGTTTTTCCTCCTCCTCATCCTCCTCCTCCTCCTCCTCCTCCTCCTCCTCCTCCTCCTCCTCCTCCTCCTCCTCATCATCCTCCTCCTCCTCCTCCTCCTCCTCCTCGTCATTCTCCTCCTCCTCCTCATCCTTCTCGTCCTCCTCCTCCTCCGCATCATCATCCTCCTCTTGCTCCTGTCTCGTCCTTCCCGCACTTCACGTCATGGACCTCCTCCTCCTCCTCCTCCTCCTGCTCCCGAGCGAGACCTGCAGCTTAGCAGCCTGGAAAGGGCCGCGGGCATTTACCCTCGTCAGGGCCTCACGACAAGCTAAACCTCCCATCTGGAAGGTACATGTACACTCCCCAAATGTGAGACCCATGCCGCCTGATTTGGCGACGGAGCGCGACGATTTAGTATGGAGTCGGGACCCGTCGCTCATCCACGCGCCTTCATCCATGTTTACGTTCCCCCGAATGCAATGAGCAGCGACTAGAGCAAATAAAATCGCAATCACAAGACTAACACTCAAAGCAGCCTACCTGTGCGAGCCGGCTTGGCCTGGCCGCAGTTTGCCTGAGCCCGCCAGACGCACGGGCACCCGAGAGGCGTGAAAGCTCGGCCCACGACAAAGAAAGCACGCATCGAGACCTGACGGTCCTGGCCAGCCTCTAGTGTTCATCCGAGTGGGCGCAATGACTCCTCCAGTGGCCCCCAGTGGCCTCCAGTTGTCCCCCGCAAGCCTCCAGCGGCCTCCAGTGGCTCCTCCAGTAGCCCCCTGCGGCCTCCAGTGGCCTCCAGTGGCCCCCTGTGGCATCCAGCGACGCCAGCAAACCACTGCGGAACCCTGGGAAGCGCAGGAAAGCCAGACTAAGTTTCAACGAAAGGCTCCCAGGATCGTCTTCTGAAAGAGCCAGCTCCTACTCACCTAGCAAGTCCGTCACTTATGACACAACCTGATGGTGAGCCAATCGCTGCATCGCCTCGTCTACGGCATCAGAGCGATCCGATCTCCACGCATTGCCGCTACGCTGCGCTCTTGCGCACACATCCTGGGTAGGCGTGTGTGCCCGCATCGCACTGCAGCACCGAATCGGTCGCCTTGTCGGCAGGAAGTCATGACCAGCGTGCAGGGCATTTACCTGGCAGATGCCGGGAGCGCACCCGCGGTTTCTGCGGTTTCTGCGGACGGCCAAGGTCGAGCAAGCTCAGCCTAGGCCCAGAACAAAAAACGGGGGGGGAGGCCAGGAAAAGAACCTCGAGCCTCGAACCTCCCTCCCTCCTCGCAGCGCTGCGCAAAGCTCCCGCTACAGCACTCCCCCCGCCCTGCCCCGGCGGCACGGTGTCCGGGTACCCGCGCTGCCAGGTCAGGTTCCCGCTGGTGCC